GGTGTGCTCAATAGATCGAGAATGTACTTCACACCGGCCCACCGACTGCAGCTTTATAAGGCATAGGTTCGGCCTCACATGGAGTACTGCTCTCATCTTTGGGCGGGGGCACCCCAGTACCAGCTTCTCCCTTTGGATCGCATCCAGCGCCGAGCGGCTCGAATCGTCGACGACCAGGACCTTTCCGATCAGCTTGATCCTTTGGCTTTGCGTAGGGATGTAGCTTCGCTCTGCATCTTCTATCGCATTTATCACGGGGAGTGTTCTGAGGAATTTTTCGGATTAATTCCAGCTGCTGCATTTCGCCATCGTACATCGCGACAAAAATTTCATCCCCATCATCTTGATGCGTGGCTATTTTCTACCACGTACGACAAAACTGTGGAATATGTTGTCGCCAGCAGTGTTTCCGGACCAATACGAGCCAAGAACCTTAAAAAATAGAGCGTACTCCTTCCTTGAAGGCCGGCATCGCATTTGTGATACTCCTGGTGTTACAAGTGTCCATGGGCGACGGTGATCACTTACCATCAGGTGAGCCGTCTGCTCGTATGCCCCCCTATAACATAAAAAAAAAATCAAACGTAAGTGATTAAAAAATATTAATGCAGTGTACCTAGTCCAGCCATAAGTTCTGATACAAATGAACATGGATTTTTTTAATGAAGTAATGTTATATTATTAAAATGTATACCTACATATTTATTAGTATCAGCAAAAAAAATCTATTTGAAATGGCCACCCTTGGATTTTACAGAGGCCTATATTCTATTTGGGCACGAAACTAAGGATTTACGCACTGTCTCCAAGGAAATTTCGCCACTGCTTGCTCCAAAATATTTTTTAGAATCAATATCGCCGTGTCCTTTTTAGAGCAGGCCATGTCCTCTAAAACTGAGCATAATTTGAAGTCTAAATGGTTGAAATCTGGACTAGATGAGGGCCAGTCTTCAGCTCTTATAAAGTCCGGAAAGTTGGTTTCAAGCCAGGCTTAGGTAGTTCGTGCCTTGTGACCAGATGCAGAATCCTGCTGGAAAGTCCACGGTATATTTTTAAAAAGTATATTGCTGAGAGGTTTCACAACATGATCCAAGACTATCTTGATACACTTTGGCTGAAGTTTTCACTCCTTTTTTAAAAAAATATAAAACAGTCGCAGCGATAGACTAGAGGCGGCTCGTTTAGTAACGCATTTTTTATCTGTCTGATCTTGATCTGACTTTATTTATACTACTAGAGTGCCCGCGTCTTCATCTGCGTGGAAATATTGGTTTCCCATACAGACATTACCACCCCTCACCCTCACCTTCACCCTCTTAAAGGATTATTTCTGGGATTAAAACTATCCTACGTCCGTTCCCGTTCCCGGAGCTCAACCTATATCGATAGCAAATTTCATTCAAATCGGTTCAACGGTGTAAGCGAGAAGAGGTCACAGACTGTCAAACAGACACACTTTCGCATTTACAATATATTAGTATGGATATACATACACATGGCCAGATTCCGAGTCTGTCTGTATACCTCTCCGCTATTTCCTTTTTAGCATACGAAACGGATGCGGTTTTCAAAATCAGATTTCACGGAAGTTTTGATCTGCCATTGTAGACATTAGTTTTATATGCATTACGGCATTACACGGCAAAATGTCGCTATGTCTGTACAAGCAGCCAGTATTAGAAATTTGACATTTGTCAAAAATCCCAATAAATTCTCATTTATTGTTATGAGATCGTAAGTGTGATTGCATCTTACAGAATACCTAAGCTGGGCCGATTTGAAAAACTGTTTTTGTGTAGGATTGTGGATTTATCGAGGAAGGCTTCAGGCTATATAACAACGCTATGACTTAAAGGAGCGGGTCACTAATGAAAAATGTTGCAAAAATGTGAGAAAATAATCTACTTGTGAGCTTCCGTTGCGTGCACTGCGTAAACAATAAAAGTTACATAAAAATCACCTATGAAAGAATTATTCACCTTTAAAACCGCGTCAGGATAATAAGATGTCTATCTTTTAAGGGTGACCCACTATAATATTTTTCTAGCTCTAGTGTAGTTATAAAAAATGACATAAAAAAACTTTAAAAAACACGGTAACACCGAAGCAAAGGGAGGGCAATAGTTTCAGATCTTGATATATTTCTGTGGTGAGTGGTCACAGGGATCATCGCGATCTCTTATATGGAATTATGTAGATATTCGCAGGACGCGGGTTATTGTAGTACTATTTAAATAAAATAATTGTTGACGCATGATTAAGAAGTTCTGCCTGCACCGGAACGTCACTCCATTTCTACCAGTAGAAGCAGCTTTGACCCACGTGATCATAAACCTCACTCTATACTTGTCACTCTCTACGCAATTAAAATTTTGTACGCTCATCTTTTCTTTCGCAATTTTCTTGTTATTTATTTATTTTTGTAATTATAATCGCAATATACGCATTATTAAAGAAACATCTGAGCTTTATTGAAGAGTACGCTTTATGCCGATACAATAATAAAAATAAAAAACTTACGTAAACGCAGTCGGGTAAAAAACTAAGCAATTTTGGGTGTCGCCGTGCAAAAAAATATATCTGCATGTTTGACAATCCCGGTGGCTGTATTGCAATTGTTATAAACCACGTATATCAAGATGGTGTACCTGAGTTCGATACACACTTGGCCGGTCTGTTTTATAACCTTAATTTACGTTCTGTTTTTACTAGGTTTATGTTATGAAGTTTGAAAATGAAGATTTTTTTTCTTCACAACTATACTCCTCTCCCTGCCTGAAAGCAACTGGCAATTAACAGAATTGTATTCTTTTCAGTTTTAAACTAGATACATTAAGCTTCTCATAAAAAGTTTTGATATCTCCCTTCACTGCACTTTCTTTTTACATTCTATTAACTCGGGTTACTTATATTGGTTGCTCTTACATAAAAGTCGCAATAAGTAATATGTATGACACCATCAAGCCCTGCTCTCTAATTGCCGGAACGGAGTTGAAGGGGCGTGGTACCAGAGTGCCCGCCCCCCGTTCGGCTGGGCGGCACCCGCCCTCCGCTAATTGAATACTTGGGATAAGAACGCTGGTATATTTATTAAGCTTTGTATACTCAGATATAATTGATACTGAAATTTACTAAGTGGATTCAGATTGTGGTTTTCCCTAGCGGCTTGTTATACAACGGACCTGTGTGACCATAGAAAATCTGGAATTTACTACTGTCCAGATTTTTCATTAAGTGCAATTTTCTAATGAAAAATGAGTAAGTTGCGCTGACATTTCATTCGAATTTTCTGGTGGTTTCTTGTGCTGGATAAAAAAAAAATACTTACACACAAACTTTTAATAACAATGTCCTACCTTAAAAATACATTTTTTTTTATAGCGAGGTAGGCAAATAACTGTACCCCACCTGATGTTAAGTGGTGATAAAGTCCAAACGCGGAGATAGCTGGTACAGCAGTTATAAACTGCTACACCAACCATCCTCACCTTGCCGGTCTGCAAAAATGCTTCTTGACGCCTCTCTTAAAGGACCCAGATTATAGGAAGGAGGGAACACGTGCGTGGTTAAAGAATTCCACTTACGAATACTACGACAAAAAAATGAGTCACCAAATTTCTTTGTTCGTGTAGGAATAATGGGCAGAGTATTTATTAATTGAACTAATATACAACTCTGACGACGGCCCTGGTACACATGGCATCTGTTTTTTATTTTATAGGTTTTTATGTTTTTTTTTATTTAAATTGTATAGTTTTAACTTATTTATTACTAGTTGGTTGGTATTATTCTTTTTAATTATACTTTTACTAGTACATCTTATAATAGTAAGTACCTGTAATAAAGACTGGGAATATATTAGCTGCTATTTGTTTACACTGATCTTTCGGAAGCCTATAACAATTTGGATACTTATACAATAGAACGAAAAACTGAAAGTCTGTACGTAAAGGCTGAATTTGAAGAAGTCACATATAGAGAGAACGAACGTGTGGCATAGGCAAAAACTAAACATACTTTTTTAAGTTTCTTCGATATCAAAGAAGATTCAGAGAATCATAATCATGAGATACCTTGGAACTTCATCCCATCGCATCATAAGTTGGAGACACATTTGATCTGTATTATGTTGTCACACTTTTGATGCTCTATAAAGTACACAGTATAGGTGTGAGGAGCTCGATGGCGCAAGTGGTTAGCGCGTTCGGCTGCAATCGTTGAAGTTAAGCAACTTTCGCAGTGGTCAGTCATTGGACGGGTGACCAAAAATTTACTATCTCCCGGCCTGTGCCCCAGGAGTTGGGACATTAATAAATGATGAAGATAATAAAGAACACATTTGATTTACGACTCGAATCTGTGTGAGTATGTAGGTAGGTAAGAATACTGTAAGTATATTATGTTAAAGTTTGTTTACAGTTTTTTATGGTAAAAAGCTGGCAAACAAACATATGGCCCGCCTGATGGTAACCGATCACCATACCTTGGCCCAATCCCCTACCCCGTGGAGCTCTGGAACCTTACTCACCGACAGAAACACAACACCAACAAAAGGTAGTGTTATTTTACTGTGGTGGAGGTTAGTTCCTCGGACAAGCGCTCTAATTCAAGCGGAAAATATTTTATGCCCTCTCTTGTAGAAACCTAGTAGAAATTCTGTCATACTTGCCACTAATTCAAAAGATTATTTAGTTGCGGGGGACCGTATTCTATCCACAACATTAAATGACAATAAATCTTTACACTGTCAATAATACCTACACGTCTCTCGAAATATTCAACATAAAAAACACCTGTTGGAATAATTGAATCCTTCAAACCCAAGAATCAATGTCTGTTACATCCAGAGCAGTAATTAGTATTGCATAAAGTTTTAAAGGGAAAGCTAACATAATCCCAAGTGATTATTCCTGATTCTACTTACACAAATGCATTGGGAACAGAGAGATTTTTCCAGCGGTTGGGCGGGGCTGGTTGCGCCCGCCCCTCGCTGCGAACGGTCCGCCCACGCTTCACGCCGCTCCGCAGCCTGCAGCTCACTTCGCTCCGGGCACCGCGCCGCGTGGTCATGGCGCGAGCTCCGCAACAACCGGGCCGCACGTGAGTACACACTCCTCTATCTCTTTTAAAATAAAACAGGACAAGTGCGAATCGGAATCGCTCACCGAGGGTTCTGTACAAATTTGTAGATTTCTCTTACGAGGGCTGTTCAAGTAGTATCGAGATTTTTTTAACTAACAAAAATATATATAATAAAAAATAAAAATATATAAAATCGAGAACCCAATATACGTACGTGACTTGCGGAATTCTAAAATTTGTCGAGAATCGAGTCGGATATCCGTTTTTCCGAAATGTTTTATGATAATTACATTAGTATAGTTTCAAGATTTTACCCTGTACTACGTTACCGTATTAATTTTGTTTCTCTTGAGAGTGCCGAAATAGATATGCTGCATAAGCGGCCGTATTTGTTTATTACGTTAACTTGCAAGTTTGATTTTTGCACAGCTTTAAGAGAGCGTACATTTGAATATATGGTTTCAATTTAAAGTTGATCCTCCACGCGATCTCGAGTGGTTTTGACAGAGTGACGAACAACCGTCCTAGTGATCCTATAAAGGTTTAATTATATTCTTTTTTAGGTACGGAACCCTGAAAACGAATCCTTATTTCTCTTGGTCACGCCGTAACTTGCAAAATACTTTACCGATATCATTCCTTTTTTTTTCAAAGTTTTCTAATACATTTAATATCGTTAAATTCAAGAAAACTGAATCAAAACTGTATATGAGAGAAGGCGCTGCAGTCGGATTTCAGTTTTTTTTATAGGACTGAACATCGCACCTCGTTGTCGAGTCTGCTAGCTCCACAATCACGAGGCATGTCAGCCTCACGTGTCTGTACATTGATTGGAAGTAGCATAATCGTCGATGGTCGTGATTTCGTATAGTTTGTTTTTTTATTTTATTAAAAGTACGAAAAGTTTTGATTTAATTTTAAAATTGTAGGATATTAGTTTTAACTTCGAAATCCAATAGATGTTTTAGTTTACTTTAAATTACTTAAAAGTATTATTAGAAGGTTTTTGTTTAGTTACTAGAGAGAGATGAGTCGTACTTGATAAATCACGTAATTAGAAGTACGAGTTTAAATAATATATAAGTATTATAATATTCCAAAAATAATATTTTGTATAACAAACAATAATTATAATTACTAATGAAGGCTGAAGGAGTTTTCTTCCAGGCGAAGAGCAGGAGTGAAATCCTCATGCATACATACCCCACAGCCGAGTGTAGGCTAATGTCAATCTCTAAGGCTTCCTGGCACAATTCATGCTTATGATTTAAATTTAAAACAAACAACTCAAAACTACCTGTTTTGTGCTGTAGAAAATGTTTAGCGCCATCTAAATAATGAAAACATAAATTAATATTATTGTTAGAGTTAATGCAAGGCTCATGATATTATTTTATTTGTAAAAATCAGAATTTTTTTTAGGGACAACCAACAAGAACTTGTATTAAAATCCATAAATAAATAAAATATAAAATTGGAAATACTTTTTACAATATATGGCGAAAAAACTAATATAAATCAAATAGGGTATTTACCAAATTTTTTAAAACTGCTTATATTTAAAGATTGGGACAAACGATTTAATAGAAAAATAAAAATAAATTAATTAATGTCTTTTTTTCTCCATTAGACCAATTAAAGTTGAATTTATTTTTAATGGTTTTGAATTTACCGCCAAAACGCTCGGTTCGATGACGTCTACTACTTGACGTCAACTTTGTGTAAAGTATTTTAACACCTATTTAGTCTGTGGACGTTCTGTGATTACGGAGTTATCTAAATAGTAGTAGTAGTTACTTTAATGGAGAAAAAAATACATTAATTAATTTATTTTTACTTTTGTGTTAAATCGTTTGACCCATTCTTTAAATATAAGCAGTTTTCAAAAATTTAGATAATACCCTATTACTCCGTAATTACAGATCGTCCACAGACTACATAGGTGTTAAAATTCTTTACGTAAAGTTGACATCACACAGTAGACGTCATCAAACCATAGAGAAAGGTAAATATACCAAAAGGAACATCAAACCGAGCGTTTCGGCGGTAAATTCAAAACCATTAAAAATAAATCCAACTTTAATTGGTCTAATGGAGAAAAAAAGACATTGATTAATTTATTTATATTTTTCTGTTAAATCGTTTGTCCCAATCTTTAAATATAAGCAGTTTTCAAAAATTTGGAAAATACCCTATAGGAATTCAGAAATCAACCTGCGCCATCAATATCAGCATTAATAATAAAAATATTTTATATACCTTAAAAACTTATACAATGGTTTTTTATCTTACATTTATGTTCAGTGAACGATTGTACCTACTCTGCACACTATGCACCGACATGGGCTGGAGTGATCTTAATGGTGCGCAGAACATGAAAATACTTATCTCATAGTTTTTTCGAAGTATGGAACTTCGATTTAGCTCCTGTGACTTCAAATCAGAATTCAATTGATTTGAAGTCACGGTAGCGGGGAGCTACCGGGCATAGGGGCTCCTCGGAGTAAAGGCACCCGGGGCCAGGGGTTTCTGGGGGGTCGGGGTCTGTAAAGAAAGGCTTCCGAGGAGTGGTCCAAGGGACGGGGGTCCTCAATAGATTGAGCACACGTGGTCAAGTCAAAGGCACCGTCTGAGAACGGAACACTTGGGTGTGGGGGTTTTTGAGAGTTCGGAGCACCTAGGGGTGGAGGATCGCGGGTGCCGGGCACCTGGGTGTAGGGTAACCCAAGGATCGGAGGCATCTGAGGGTAAAATCTCCCGGATAAACAGACGAAGTAAGGTTAGTTTTGCCTCCAGCGGAGCGCCAGAACGTTATATTAATTATTTAAAGATTTTTTTAATTAGGTTGTATTATTAGGTAGTAGTATTAATTTTCTTTAAATATAAAAATGCATCTGTTTCATAATTTAAAAGTACAACTAAATTATAAATAATTGACCTATTAATGACTTCATTGCTGGAATTTTCAAATAAGTCACGGAGTCCCCCGTGGTGGAGGGGTTTGTTTCAGGGTGTCACCTACTCTTTTCTAAATTTGTTTTTTTTTTTCAAGAAAACATCTTTCAAAATATTAAGGTATTTTTATGATTATTTTCTCATATTGCTTTAAAAAACTAACATTCTTCAAATACGCTCTATTTACTGCGTACATACTTCAAAAATGCATAAATAAGTGGAATCTCGAAAAATAAATAGAAAACTTTAATAAAAACTCATAAGCATTAATCTTTAACGGGAACTAAGTTAATAATTTTGAATTCTGTACTCGTAAAAAAACACACTCCAGAAAAAAACGCGTTTTTATCTAAAGAAAATTAAAAAATCATCAGTTATATAAAATATAAACGCGTTTTTTAACGTTTTTTGATGCACAGTAGAAACAAAACTGTTTTTTGCATCTCTAAGCAGACCCAGTGAAAATTGGTAAAGATTACAGATACAGCCAAATCAAAGGCTTATCCTGGGTTATCGTGCCTTTCCAAGCACGCAGAAGCTCGAGATAATGGATTTTCAGCCGTCGATCTTGTGAAAGTTGCTCATATTTTACATAAGAATAAAGCCCCAATCAATCTCCAGTGATGTTCATTTCCGAAGAACTGATTCTATTGGTGTGTACAAACCTCAATTTCACTCCGAGACGAAGACTGCGCTATGATTCTTGACGATCTCGAGCGTTTATTACTGAAACTCGTTCAAGCAAGATCCTTAATTTTTTTTTTCACCTGACGTTATCTGTTGCCCAACTACAAATTTTCGATTTTGTACACAACCTTGTAGTGAATTTCTTTCAGCTATAGGACGGTGGTAGATGTCCCATCATACATAATTCACTCTTCACTTAGTCAATTTGGTCTAGTGAGCTCGGAGCCTCACTCAACCTATATGACATTCGATGCAGAGATCTTAGCCGACGTAACCTTAATTATTTTTAGAGTCGAGCATAACAGGAAAATTTAAAAGCAGTTATTGGTCAAAATATTATAAGTAACAAGGAAATAAACTGTTATTTCTATTGTGGTATTATCCAAAGGCAACACGGATGCGATCGTGTCATGTTGCTGTATGCATATTACGATAAATTTAACTTATATAAGTATATTTCACATGCCAAGGTAGAAAAAGGTTTATTTAATTACTCTATAAAAATTCTACAAACTAGTGATGAACGTTACGAAAGAACGGAAATTTGAAATTGTTTTAAGGAGCTTTATAGCTGAGTTGTATTATTCATTGTACATTTTACTCGTACAAAACAAGACGCCCCTTAAAGAAAGAGATTTTAAAAGAATGTCCTAGGAAAATTCCTTTTCGACTTATGGCTTTTCCTTAGTGTTATTAATGTAAAATGATATTGGTGTCGATTCTGGCATGATTCTCTAAACTTAAAACTAAATTTAACATCAGTCTCTCCTTTTTATTCTGTATAGAGAATGAAAATGATGCACTGTTGTCAAATTTAAGTTTAGCTATAGAGAATCATGCTGGAATCGACATCATTATAATTTTAATTTTCTTTAAGAATCCTGTTATTGTTTGAGAATTTTATTTAGATAACTTTAAAATACCGGCACCCGCAAATTTCCAAGTTTAATTTTCCTAATGTGCATTGCATTAAAACTCTTGACGTTTTTTCACTGTTTTCCGATATGTGTGGCCCCTTGAAAATCTTCATAGTGAAGCGGTGGTCGAATCCAATTTGTGGAGTAGTGGCAGCACGCGTGACGTGGAGGTTTTTCGGCGTGTCACCCCTGGCGGTGACAGCCACTCTGCTGGTCCGAGCAAGCGTAGGGTTGTTACCTGGGAAAATCTATTAACTACATTGATTCGATCGTTTTTCGTAGCATTAGTATTATTTTCAATTCGATCTTATATGGAAGGTTATTTGAGTGTTATTACGTTTTTTGTTTTTATTTTCACTGTAATGTTATTGTTATTTTTTGTATTAATTAGAAGTAAATGACAAACCTAGAAAATAACCTTAAATATTTTTACTTTCATTTATTTCAAAGCACTTAAATTCCACATGTTTTCAAGTTGTTCAAGGCTCTTAGAGGAATGGATTAAAATTGGTCAATCAATTATATAAGTCTAGTTTAAGTTACTGTTTATGCAATTTATTAACCAACGTAAGTCAATTCGGCTATAAAACATCCGTTTTGAGTGTTACCAAACAGTATGTTATCAGTAAGGAAACTGTATTTATAAGAAAAAGAAATTGAATTCTTGATACTGTTTAAAACATTTTCCTCTCGTTGCATGGAGATAGATGTAAGCCTTCGTCTGTATATCTATGTTTTGTGCTTTTTAGTCATACCATAAAACATTGCAAATAATATATACATAAGTACATAATCAAATTGAATATATTCCATAATCGAGTGACACCCCTTATTTAACCGGCGACTGCGGTCAATGGAGTGGCGCCTCTGAGCTCGTTGATGTTAACATTCGTCATTTAATTACTCCACACAAGCTGAGCCAAGTCGAGTGGACGCGCCTAATTAGGGGAGATATAATTAAGAGGTTTTCATAATACAATGATTTGTGAACTGGAGCTGTATTCAGCGTCCGTTTTCGGATTCGCTTTGTAAGCTTTATCATCGCCGTCACTCGTTTGAGTTTGCCTGAGACAAAAGTGTAAAAAGTTTGAATCCAAATCAGCGTTACCAAGCCGTATTTGGCATGGCTATTGATTTTTTTTCTCTAACAATAATTTGAATTAAATTTGAATGCAAACCAGCGTAGCTATATCTCATCAAGCCGTATTTATATCTTTTTTCATTTTATCCTTTGAGAAAAATCCAAATTTCTACGAAGACTAATTGAATATTGTTCATAATCTTAACAAAAAATAACTGTTTAAAAGGATATGCTATTACATTCTCCATGTACACTTTATTACTTTATTTATAACTTATAACATTAATATATACAGGAACAATGAACCTTAAACTAAAATCCTTAAAAAATATAATACATTACTTTATTTTATAATCATTTTAGAGTAGTAAGAAGGTATTAATATTGTAGAGGTCGAAACAACCGTGCATTTTGAGTAGTATTCACAAGTACGTACTCAAGCAATAAATACTTGAGCTCTGTCTTTTATGACTGTTACAGGATATATTCGTTGGTACTTATAGATAGTGACTTTCGAATGCAAAATAACTTTTCTCAAACAAGCTTGGAAACTTGAGCATTATTTTGATAACCTTCTTCGAGATAAATCGAAATTTCTGTACAGTAAAAGGCGAGAAGCGGCCAGTAAAAGTTGTATGAAAATCCTTTTGAGTTACTCCGAAACATGGCAACCAAGTAGTAACTTATCAAAACTTAACAAATTATCGCGGGAAAAAAATATTGTTGTTCGTCATTTATTTAGTTAGCGTATTATTTGAGAAAAGTACTATACAAGCTTCTTCGACAATTAAACTTTGATATATACGTGAATGTGATTCGGCTTGGCCACTGCCCACATTTAGACGATCGTCCATCAATGCCTCTTGCTGGCCGCTGCAGTAATGTACAATTAATCACGTTGTTTTATTATACGAGGCGCCACATATTATCCCACCCCATTTATTGTTAAGTGGAGTCCAGTCGCGAAGATAGAAGGTGTGCCACTCCAGCGATCTTCACCTTATCGGCCTAAATCCTTCTAATCCTCTCCATCCAAATGTCGTCTGGAAGAGATCGCTTTTAGCGATAAGGCCGCCCATTGTAACACTTGATTTAAATGACTCTGTATTTATTGTAATGTTTTCTGTGGTGTGCAATAAAGTGTTTTGTATTGTATTATTTATTGAATCTTTGTAGACTAATTTTATAGAGGTCGAAACAATGCGCTTTTGAAATTGGTATTTACAGGTGTACTTACTAAAACAATAAAGTTTTCAACACATTTACTCAAAAAATGCATTTACGGATATTGTATGTACATTGTTCGAAGTTCAAAATTACGGGCCACAGAACGGAGCGTGCGTTAAAGCATTTTACCGTACGCTCCAATACATGATGCCGTGCGCATCCTTAACGGTTTTTTAACTTCGATCGAACCGCAGTCAAGGTTGGCTGCGCTTTTAATCTATACCATTTTCTCACTTTAATAATAAAAAGAAAAAGAGACGAACGATTTAGTTCTAATATTCATCACCCGCACTTGGCGCCATTTGGAAACGCGAGTCATTTTCTTATTAGACAGAGTTTGCTGTGTGTAGGTACTGTTTTCTCGCAAATGTGTTGAAAAACGTTGTATGACATTCGTGCGGAATTGGTATTGACAAACTCGTGACTATGATTCCTTACATTCATAATACATTCTACTGGGGACCATTCGCCTAACGGAAATGCTTTGGAAAACGCTAAAGCTTACGATTTCATTTTATTATTTCTAGCCGCCTGAGGTTTTCAAATGCCTCTCGCTCTTTTTTTTCTTTTGCATTGGTTTGTTATTACCAATGCAAAAGAAAAAAAAGAGCGAGAGGCATTTGAAAACCTTCGGCGGTCAGAAATAACGAAATAAAATCGAAAGAGTTAGCGTTATCCATAGTATTTCCGTTAGGCGAATGACCCCCTGGATTGTAGTAACCAACTTACCGCACTTATATCATAAATGAGGCTGTCAGTGCAAAAGTGACCTAACCATCAATTATTCAAATTCTGATCAAGCGGCTTAGGCCACACGCAACGCCATCTATTGACGCCTGCTGAAACAAGAGATAGGCCGATTATGAAATAAATTGTAACACATTTTTATTTAATTGTAGAAGATGAATCAGAATTGAGGGTTAGGCCACTTTTGCACTGACAGCCGCAAATAGCTCCGTCTTTTGTGCTGGTATGTGAAATAGCATTAGTTGGTACTCACATACAGAGACTTTAGAATTAAAAATAATTTCACCCATGATGTTTTCTTCGTGCTTTGGTTAGCAGTGTGTGGCGGCTACGTCTGAAGCAGTAGGATGGCTCTGAAGACGCCGACTCCAGGGGTCGGGGAGCGCGAGACCTGGGGCAAGAAGGTTGACTTCCTGCTCTCCGTGATCGGGTTCGCGGTGGACCTGGCCAACGTGTGGCGGTTCCCCTACCTCTGCTACAAGAATGGAGGGGGTGAGTAATAATAATAATAATAGACCAGATATCACTTTCTACGACAAGATTAAAAGTGAAAAGATCCTCAAAGATGGAGCCATTCCAAATACACACAATCTTAATAACACCTACACTGAGACCCCCTTATTAATAAACGAGATACAAGCTTAGACTGGTTACAACCTGTTTTGTTCATACCACTCAAATGAAATCTGTCATTCAATGAACGGAAGCAAAACATGGAGTAAATAATCCAAGCTTAATCTGCGTACACAGATTTGCCAATAGAATTAAAAACAAAGCGGAAAGTAAACTAAGTACAGAAGTTATACCTAAATTCTTTACACACAAGTCTTAAACGTATGAATAATCCACTTTTGTGCATGCAGCTACAAAAAGTGGTACTTAATACTTGTCGAATTGTCCGCACATTTATGCAACAATGGAGAATAAATTTACACACATGGTATGCTTAGTCTTGGATCCTCATACTATTAAAGCGGAGAGTTAGTGGGATGGAAAATGAAGGCTAGGGTTTTGGACGCAATGGGTTTGTTAACACCATTTTAAAGCAATACACCAAATAATCATAGATGAATGCAAATAATATTTTAGCAGATAACAGACAAAGACTACGACAACACAATAACAATTTTGATAGCAAAGCAAAAATCATAAATATGTCAATACCTCAAAAAACTATAAAAACTAAATCTTTCAAAAAAAGGTCGGTAACATCCCTCGGCAACAACTATAGCATCTACCGCATAAGTGGCAGAAAATGTACATAAAAAGAATAATAATACGATAGAACTAAATTATAAATTTAGCGCATTTAGTAAGAAGCTTGCTTCTCACGCAGGTGTGGGAGCATAAGATGAACCGCGGTAGATATGATTATCGGATTAGTGAGTTTAATGGAAGACGCTGCCAAGCCACTTTAATTACATATATTTCATCTAGCACCAGCATAAAATTACATTATGTGCCTCTTGCAGTCTTAATTGTCACCTCCTCTCACTCGAAGGAGCATAGTCATGCACCTTGTGCGGTTTTCTTTGTGGGTTTTTTTATTAAACCAAAAAGAACCATGTTAAACATGCACAAGTCATTGAAGGGGAGTACTTAAAAAGCTAAACCTTTTTGTGAAAATGAACTTAAGTATTTTACTAAAGTATGTTTCATATGAATGTTTTTCGAAGAATGGTAACGTTAACTTAAATATTTAACGCAAAACTCAAGTAAACTTAAAAAAGGAATCTTCCAAAATTAATTATTCTTCTTAAATTTTTATTAAAATAAACCAAGTTTGATAGTCCAGTCAGTATTGTCGCGAAATCCGTTTTTCCTCAAACAGCTGGAACTATGCTAAAAAGTTTCTTAAGATAGTAAAGAACACTTTACATAGAGAAAAAAATGTTTCCAACCCCGGGCAAGGGTGAAAACCACCCTTAATAATCTATTTTTCCAATTATCTCAAAAAGTATACGAGATACGGAAAAAAACTTCAAATGAAAATTGTAGATCTTTTTGAAATCTACAAAACATTATTCCACCCTCTTGCCCCTATTTTCAATAGGGGAGCCAATAATCGAAGTCAAAGATAACTTTTTTAACTAACTTTAACTTTTTAAGTATTGAATTAAGGGTGGTTTTCACCCTTGCCCGGGGTTGGAAACATTTTTTTCTCTATGTAAAGTGTTCTTTACTATCTTAAGAAACTTTTTAGCATAGTTCCAGCTGTTTGAGGAAAAACGGATTTCGCGACAATACTGACTGGACTATGACATTTATGCCACCTTTTCTTTGATGAAGACCTTTATGTGTTTTTTAGTTGGTTTCGTAAATAAATTAATAATTCAAGTTAAATCTAAAGTTTTATTTTTTTGTGAATATCAAAACGAAAAGCCCTTAGTACAGAAATTCTAAAAAGAAGATAGCTAGGCTATTTTGGCATAGCAAGCAAATAGTTATCGGGTAAATCCAGGTTGGTTATTTTTTTTCGATTGTACCCAATCATAACAACCTGAAGAGAACAAGGTACATTTAGTAGGTACTTATTTATGTAATTATGTATATATATCTGTCATATATGCTCTGAACAGGATCAACTAATAGCAAAGACATAAGGTAAGCTAAACTTAAAAGAACCTTTTTACGAGCAAAAGCTTGAGGAACGTACTAGAATGTTAGAATCTACGTTAGTGTCGGTTTTAGTATTCTTCCTCAAATAAATACTTTTTTCATCCCACCACCTCGGAAAGTGTAATTTTGCGCTTCGAAATCTGGCTGGAAAATTCTATTTTATTCGCTTGAGCGGCAAAGTAGATTTGAATTTAGAACATCACATATAATGAGTACTCAATATAATTGTAAATTCAAAACGTCATTAAACCTATTTAATGTAACCTCTATGGTGCCAAATTTATGATTAGAACTTTTTAAATTGTGAAAAAATTTAAATTTGGAACCTTCTTGGTTTCTTTGTTTTATTTGCGTGCTTCGCGCCATTCTAGTTTTTCACGTTTTATTGCTTAATATAATTAACATAACCTAAAAACTGTACAAAAAAATCAACTAAAATGAGTGACATTAGCGACGATGAAGTTTATCTAACGCCAACTGAGTTAACTGAAACAGTTAATAATGCGCAAATGAGCCTTCTCCCTCAGCAATCACGAGAGAAGTATTTGAAACAGTACGATATATTTAACATGTGGCGACTAGCTAAAGGAGCAAAAACTTTCTCCGAAAACGTTTTGCTGGCATATTTTATAGAATTATCTGAGACCAAGAAAGCAAGCACGCTATGGAGTACGTATTCAATGCTAAAATTAACAATTAAGATGAAGAAAGACGTTCATATCGACACCTATCATAAATTAGTGGCATTTTTAAAAAGAGCCTCATCTGGTTATAAACCAAAAAAATCGAAGGTTTTCACAGCATCTGAAATTGCAAAGTTTATTAATGAAGCACCTGATTCCGTATATTTAGCGGCAAAAGTAAGTCAATACGTGTAATTTTTTGTTGTTGATAAAATTGTACATAGTACTTACAATATTTTTAATTTGATTAATTTATTTACGATTATAAATACTTCTTTTGTTACAGGTTGTTCTTATTATTGGTATAACCGGAGCATGTCGAACAAATGAACTTACACTACTTAATGTCAATAACGTATCAAAATATTCTCATAATTCTGATGAATTGCTATTAATTAATGTACTAAATACCAAGACAAAAAAAGACCGCAACTTCGTTATTCGCAAGGAATATGTAAACATTGTTCAGAAATATCAAGCTTTACGTCCTTCTAACACCCCAATTGAACGATTTTTTCTACAATATCGCAACGGAAAGTGTATCCGACAACCTATGGGTCAGAATAAAATTGGCAGTATTCCACGAGAAATAGCAACTTTTCTCGGACTTTTAGAACCCCCGTTATACACCGGTCACTGTTTTAGAAGAACCTCAGCCACACTTTTGGCCGAATCAGGGGCTGATCTTCTATCGCTTAAGCGCCATGGAGGCTGGAAGTCTAATTCGGTTGTAGAGGGATACATAGAGGATTCAATCCAAAGTAAATCAAAAATTTGTAATAGTATCGTGGAGGCCATAACGCTGAAAGAACCTCTGTCAGATTCTTGGTCTCGCCCTTCTACATCTAAAATGAGCCCCCATAAGATTGGAAACAATAGCCCTCTCTCGCCAACATTTACGCCAATAGAATCCAATGAATCGGCACAACTATTTAAAATTACTGATACGAGTAGTTTACCACAAAACAGCGCACAATTCACAAACACCAACATAACATTACCTAACAAAAATATTAAACTTAACATAAGTAACTGTAGCAACGTTACATTTAATATTTCTTAATTATTTTCTACTTCTTATTATTTTCTTCAATTTATAGATTATCTTAATGTGTTTTAATTGAAATAAAAATATTTTGTCATTTTAAATTGTTTTCTTTTTCATTTTGTCATTTCCTCGCTGAGGTGGGATGAAAAGTTACGTATTGCACTCGAGTGGAAAGATTTTTCACCTTGTGCTCGTTTGTTTCCCTCGCTGACGCTCAGGATTCTAATTTAGAATCACTCGCTGCGCTCGTGATTCAACTTTAGAATCCTTCGCTTGCTCGGTCATCCAAATCGAGCACGCGGTTAAAAAGGAACTTTCCACTCTTGTATAATAAATAACTATTAAAAGAGCCCCGTAATTTTAAAATAGTATGGCCTTAGGAATTGCGGGGCCCCGGGCGGCCGATCTTTGCAGGGTGGTTCTGGGACGGGGACGATCTGTGACTTGTTACTCATGTCTACTGTCCCTTGGAGTTGTGAAAAAATCAAACTTCTAAGTCAAAGCAACCAAAGCCGTTTATGCCGCAAATTTTCGAAACTCGCACGGGAATCAAAATCTACAGGGTACTTCCCGTGAACTTAGAATCTTGAAATTTGGTACGAAGTAACATCTTATAGTACAGATAAAGGAAAAATTGCGAAAACCGTAAATTTTTAGTTACATCATATAATAAAAAAAATATTTTTGATAATTTTAAAGTTCCTTCCTCTTTTCTCATGAACGCGTAGAGGTATTAAATTGAGTTTGTACGGAACCCTCGGTGCGCGAGTCCGACTCGCACTTGGCCGGTTTTTCAGTGGATGGTATGTCGTCAGCGCTCGTGCCGCGTGGACTGCTTAATGGCTTCTCTGTTTCGCACCCGTGAGACTTGCGAGAGGCTAGGCGTGAGGTCCGTTTGTTGGTGTGCCCCTTAAAGGCGCTAACGTCTGCAAATAGAGCTTTTGCATTCGTAAAAAATAGGTTATAAAAACACTGAAGAACATAAGGTGTATGTGCTTAGCGTTTGTGGAATATGAGAAAGCCTTTGAATCGGTTGAAACATGGGCTGAGTTGAGATCTTTACAGAGACGTCGCATCACTATAGCTACATAAAAGTGCTGATGAATTTTAACGAAAACGCTACCATGACAGTCCGTATATAA